GCTTTAAAACATCCTCAACCCCTGCTTCAGGCTCCTCCACATGCACCACCACCCGATGACGCTTAGGTAGCGCATCAACCGGCAGCACACACAGAGGAGTTCCCCTGACTTTTAAATCGGAGGAATGGGCCTTAAGCCACTCCGCCGACTCTATGTTGGCGCACACAACCATGAGTGCGCTATCCCTTTCCCAGGAACCAGTGAAAGTGGGAGCTTTGTCATTCTCAGACATGCCGAGGATGACAGACCTGACCATTTTTCTGATCTCAGCCACCTCACCGGCTCCTATTTTCTTGTCAGGGTAGCCCTCCAATACGAGGGCCATCCTGACAAGACCTTTTGTCGCCTGTGCATACGACCCTTCATTTTTGGGTCTCTTGCCCTGGCGATTTTCTGAGGGACTGGGAGTAGTGTGCTCCGGCCTGGCGCGCTTTACCGCGCCACCCGAAGCACCCCCACCCCCATCTCCACCTTTTGAACAAGAGACTGCGGGGGTAGAGGGGGCCTTATTGGCCCCACTCCTCCCGGCTAGCTTCTCTTTATTATAACGGCGCCTAGCAACCCCGCTATATTTTCTGCGGTATTTTGGGGCTTCTGAGCCCACTCCCGCACTGCAAGATTNCCCTGGGCGTTTGCCTCTAGAGGAGGCTTCGCTCTTGGGGACTGGTTTGGGGGTGATTTTATTTTCATTTCCACTCATTTTTTGTTCCCACAAGTATCGCGGTCGCGCGGTCTCACCCAGCCAGAGCCGCGACTGGCTGGGGCTTGGCTCCGTACTCCTGGATTTCGCCCGGTATCCAGGAGGCACCGTATACGACGCAACTCCCCTTGCGCCACGCAGCTCTCGGCACGGTCGCTCACACCTTAACTTGGGGGGTTCTTCTTAGTTGGCCACAGACGGGCCCATCCCTGAGCGGATGACCACCGCCCGCGACCTTAAGCCCCACCACCCGCTACGGCGCGAGAGCCTACAGCCCCCGAGGACGCCAGACGCTCACTTTCTGTGGTCAATTGTTGTCCCGTCAGATTACACTTCCATTGTGACGACACGACCAGGCAGATCCACCAGCATCCAGAGAGGAGCTGACGATCAATGCCCAACCGCGCCGCCACCAGCACATGCTGGGAACAAAATAATGTTCCGTGTAGTTACTGCGAGGCGGCCAGACCACGTGCGCACCGAGCGCTCCGAGAGCTCCGAGCTCCCGCCTCGAAGCTACTACAAGGTGGGAACCCATTCGGGGGGTATAACGGAAGAAAAACAGCAAACTCTCGGAATAACCGCATATTTACATTCAAATACAGGAATTCACAAATTTCACGTAGTGCCTGATAGATTTCCTCTAAAAGAACAAGGAATCATGAATTCCACGTTTCTACGTCAAGAAAACGCAAAAATCGAGTTTGAAACGCGAACAGTAACAATCAGTAATAATCAATCATTTCTAATAGAGTTTAGTAATTGGATAACACTACCAAGCAGAACTATTTGTCCTGTGGCGATCCACACTAAACAGCGTAATGTCGAGATAATGCGCTTATAAATCGCCAAGAATTAGAGCACGATATTTTCTTAATAGATAGCATTGTAAAAGTAAATCACGCGGGTGAAACTTATACGTATGTAACTAATACGACGGAAAAAGANATTAAGTTAGAGATACCTGCAATCGACGTAGAGCCAGTGGATATTACCACAAGCCCAAGGGACAGCTTTACATATCAAATTTATTNGGTAATCTTGAAAAATTTAATACAAAGGCTAGATTTACTGAAACAAAACTTGAGATTTGATCATTTAAATAAAGAAAAGAAACAATCGATACAATCCGTCATCATTGAAAATTTTAACGATATATTTTATCTACCGGGAGATAAACTAAAAGGAACCGCTAGAATTACACATTCTATAAACACAACAGATAATATTCCGGTATGCGTAAAGCAATATAAATATCTGCCGGTTCATAAACATGAGATTAAAAACCAAGTTGACAAACTGTTAGAACAAGATATCATTCAACCGTCCGTCTCGCCATATAACTCGCCGCTTTGGATCGTGCCGAAAAAGCCCGACGCCGAAGGTCAAACGATGGCGACTAGTGATCGATTTCCGTAAACTAAACGAAAAAACGGTCGGAGACGCGTACCCTTTGCCTAACATATCGGATATTCTACACCAACTGGGCAAAGCTAGATACTTTTCATGTTTCGATTTAGCTTCGGGTTTCCATCTGTTGTGATCGGGGAAGATGAAGGACTTGGTGATGAATAAGATTCTTGTAATAAAAACTGGCGTAGTTTATTACTATTTACTGTACAATTAACGCACGCTTTACACTGGCACTTAGCTGTTGCTTTACTGCGGTAAACTCTCCGGATGGACTCGAAACCACACAGTATTGTCAACAGCTACTCACGATCTGTTTGTCGTTGCTTGCGATCGATCTTTTAAAGGGATCGATCGCGACCACTCAGCAATTTAGCAATCTAATTGCTACCGCTGACGTTGCGTGCCGCGTCTTAACTCTACGCTTAACAAGCAGATTCCATTTACCAGGAAATGCTGCTTGTCGCCTTTTCGAATAAATTCGGGTCGATTGAGCAATGATGCGTACCTTCCGCAATTGCTCAATGGCCCGAACGAAATCAAACTAGATTTCACAACATTTTCCCCCCTTCTTGAAAGAAGGAAAATGTATCGCCATTTTCCGTTTACTACATTAAAATTTAAAACTCGGGCACCGCGTGCTCGGGCTGTCGAGCACTTAGCTTTATATCTCGAAGACTGACTATCTCTCATTTAGCTTGGAGTGTTCTTTTTCGTAACCCAAAATACAAACTCGCGATTGTTACAATAACCAAGGTTACGCTTACCAAAGTCGGGATAATAAAGTGCGGCTGCTTATAAAATGTGTAATCAACAAGATCATTTTCTTTTGTAAGTCGTGTCAACTGTTCTTCTAACGATCGCAACTGCACTTGGTTCCGTGTTACATTTTCTAATTCCATGCCGTTATTTTTTGCAAGTTCCCTTTTTCTTGGTGCCGTGATATTAAAACGCGGTAAGAACGTATTTATTCCCACGTCCTTAACTACTTGATTAGTTCGCACTATAATACTTGCTGTGGTCAACTCGCATTGCTCCGGCAGCTCTATTTCTCCGACTCCGAATATGACATTCATTCTTTCTGACTTATTTTCACACGTAACTCGTAAAGTTTCTTCTCTCAAGGTCGAGAACAACCATACGCGCGCCTTTGTTAATCGCACCCATATAATTTGGTTGGAAACCATGTGGTCGATTTCACAGTCTTCGTATTTACCATCCTCGTTTACAAACATTTGTAACTCGCAGGGCGCTCCCTGCGAGAACCAATACATTGAATCCACGTTTTTACACATATAACGTTCTTGTACGCTTATACAACTATTCCATTGTGTTTCGCTAAGTATAGAGTACGTTTGACGATTTGTGTCTATTGCCACTACCGGGAGCTTGACTCGCACCGCCGCGAACACATTGTCTCGTTCATGTACCGGCAAGGGTATTACCCTGTACACATTGTAACTACCGGGACTGATCAATGGAAATTTAACAACCGTAAATATACTCGAGTCCTTGCAATAGACACTAACAGTGACAAACCTTTTAATCTCTAACCAGTTTTCCAGAGTCACGGCAAAAGGAAAACGTAGGTCCCGCATGAACTGATTATTCGCTTCCTTCAGTCTATGTATAATTTGCTCAAGTGGCACTATTTTCAATTTTGCAAACTTAATGTGCACGTCGGTAACGTACTCAATTATTGAAATTAAGAATGAAGAGGCTAATATGAGCCATCTAAGATTAACATAGGCCAATACGAGCCATTCCGAGGTTGTTGTGCAGGAATAAGCGTGCATGTATATATATTGTTGCGTCCGCAGTGGCGGTTCAGCTCTGTCGCCGGTCTCCGCGATTCGAACTCACACCCGCGGCCAAGAAAGGACGCGGTTTCTCGTTAAAGAACTTTATTACAACTCGAAATACAACGATAATTATAGAATACTGAACCAGATGTTCAAACGCGTCGTGACAGTTCCGCAGTCGCGATTCTTCTCTCTTGCTTCTCTTCTTTTCAACAACCCGTCGTCGCCCGGTAACCGACAGTCACACCGATCGCGCGCCGTTCACGCGGCTCCCGCGACACATACGCGGTGACCTCCGCGTAACAATATATATACACATGTATGAAATTCACATGTAAATTATTTTTACATGTGAGTTTTTTGAATTGAAATTTCAATTCAAAAAATCATATAGGATGCTAGATTTGCATCTCGTATATGAAAGATCCCAAATACCCCCCTAATTTGAAAATATTGCGAAAAAAACTNCTCGGCCAGGAGTCGAACCTGGAATCTCCGGCTTTCCGTGCCATCGCCTTCCCTGTTAGGCCACCGAGGCANAGGCACTTGGAGTCTGTCTCGCAATATTCGTATATAAATCGATGTTCTGATAATTTTTAATAACGCTCCATTTCAGCTCAGCGTGAAAATCAAACGAATATACGAGATGCAAATCTAGCATCCTATATGATTTTATGAATTGAAATTTCAATTCAAAAAACTCACATGTAAAAATAATTTACATGTGAATTTCATACATGTGTATATATATATATATACATGCACGCTTATTCCTGCACAACAACCTCGGAATGGCTCGTATTGGCCTCTGTTAATCTTAGATGGCTCATATTAGCTTCTTCATTCTTAGTTTCAATTTTTCACGAGCCTTGACTATTCATTCGTTTGTACTCAATTATTTCCTCGGCATCGAGTTCCATCTCTGACAGTAAACTGCCCAGCTCAAGGAAATAGTTCCTCAGCTCTTGCTGTTGTGCGTAGTCATCAACTTTTTAAGTTATTTTTTCCACTGCTTCACGCAGCCTATTCTCATTTCTCTTTATAATATTTTCTACATCGTCTACGTGAGCAATCGTGGCATTAACTACCTGTAATTGAGTTTTTACAGTATGCTGCAATACGGCCTGTTTTCTTCCTATTAATTGCAGCTGCTCCGAGATTACTTTCTCGTCTTCTGCGTCCATGGTGCTAAATAACACTTTGGCTACGGAACCGACTGCGTTCACTAGACCTCTCCGATTACGCGTCGGTGTTCCTACTATCATTTTTATTCTTCCTACTAATGTCCTGACCTTGACTTTCCTGTGCCGTAACTCGCCAGAAAAACTGTCGCAGAACTCCTTATTGTTACTAAATATTTTCTCGTTGTCGCACAAGTCTCTGGAACTATCCAACATTTTTCGCAACTGTTCTAGTCTACTATACATAGAAGTTACGTCTAATCTTATTGCGAGCTTCCATTCCTTGGAAGAACGGTACATTTTGCCATGTTTTTCGAAATATATGCCAGGATTATGTTGAAACCTTTGAATCCTGAATTCTTGTCCTTCGGTCCCATCCCACGCATTATATACGGCAATTTTTAACAGTAAAATTTTTACCCTGTAAGATAATATTTTTACATTATTTTCTGCAACGTCGTGTTCCTACGCTGTGTTGTCTATACATATTTTACTTTAGTCGCGAATTAAACTGACTCGACTACGATTTCATCCGAGTTTAATATTAATTCCTGGTGTCAAATTTATGCTAAACCGCGAGTTTCTCTATTCCCCCCTTCCTTTCGGGTCGGATTTTCGAAACTTCACACTTCACCACCGAGTTAGTTCTTCGCTATTTCTTGCAAACGACGGAGAAATTTTTCTTTGTGTTACTAAACATTTATTTTACAACATGACATCTCCATGTAGTCGATGCGGATGCGCGGATCGACCATCCGGGTCCCTCTGCGTAACATGTTGGCTTGGTCTTCAATGTGAAGGTGAAGACTGGGCCATCTCACGTAATAGTGCTAGTGACGGTGACAGTGACACTGACTCGCGGATCAGCATCACAAGTGCGGCTACCGTCGTCGCAGTTCGAGACGGGCGGGTTCCGTTTGACCACAGTACGATTCGACACCGCTCGATTCGACACAGATTTATTCGACA